CATACATACATATAATTACTGTAAATATAAGGTTTAGGTCATACAGCCCATTCCTAATGTCATAGATAGAAGATAGAAGACAGCCAGGAAGATCCATAACACATTTTCCCTGAAAATAAGCTCTCTACTTTGGGAAATGTAATCATGGATAGACATTACCTTTTTTTTTTATTGTTGATTAAGACTTTCCTGGTCTTTTAACTATCAGATGTGGCAGCCCATATTAATCCCAGTCACATTCAATAATGTTTCGTAAATAAAATGTGGCAGGAAATGAATGTGAAACTGGATTGGAAGAGGAAGGTGGAGGTAAAAACTCAATGGCCAATTCGGGCCACATCTAGAAGAGAACATGTAGTGGCTATGAATCAAGGTATTGATATGTGGTTGTTATTTAGATTCTTAGAGCTTGCAAGTATGTGGGAGGTTTACCATGACCTTGTTTGTATCTCTCAGGAGGTACAGAGCAGCGCTGCGCAAAAGCCTGAATAAAATCCAGCAGATGTTTGAGTATCCTCGTAAAAACTCCCTCTTGAGTAATGATGCTGAAAATTCAGCTTTGCATCACAGGAATACAATTTTAAAATAAATGTAAACAGAAAACAGCCGTTTAAAATTGTAACAATATTTCACAATATTACGGTTTTCTGTATTTTTGATCAAGTAAATGCAGCTTTGGCAAGACATATCTTATGCTTTCAAAGATATTTAAAAAATCTTACAGACCTCACTATGGTTTTCTGCCTGAATAAAATCCAGCAGATGTTTGAGTATCCTCGTAAAAACTCCCTCTTCCAGTGCACGACCATACAGCCACGCCGCGAGAGCAACAGCTTCTCCTCACCAGCCCCCAGAGTACCTCCGGCACTACAAACAAACAACGAACCCCAACAGGAACTCACACTAGTTTGAGCGCGACCCTCACTGACCTTTGGTGGTTTGAATAGCACAGAAATAATCATGACTTAAAGGTCCCATGACATGCTGCTTTTTAGATGCTTTTATATAAAAAAAATATTGCGCTCGCCTCGCACGGTAGTAGTTCATTTTCTCATGGGCGGGCCAAATTCTCTGGGCGGGCAAAGCAGAGAAAGGGGAGGTAACCTTTCCCCGTATGACGACATAAAGGGAAGATTCCAGATTGGGCCATCTGAGCTTTCATTTTCTCAAAGGCGAAGCAGGATACCCAGGGCTCGGTTTACACCTATCGCCATTTCTAGCCACTGGGGGACCATAGGCAGGCTAAGGGAACTCATATTAATGTTAAAAAACCTCCTAAAGTGAAATTTTCATGCCATGGGACCTTTAAGGAAGCATCTGCAGAATCGCTTCACCCCAGCACAAGAGGACACTGGGTTGGCAGAGCTAACCAGAAGCAATTTCACTGCTTATGATGTCAACAGACTTCATACAGAACGAAGTAACCTTGTGCGATATTCTACAGTAAACGAATCTTGAAAAAAGAAGAGAAAAAAGGACTTTTGCATCAGAAAACATGTATTGTTTTCTTTTGTGACTTGTGACAGAAACAGTGATTCACTTTTTTTCTAAATGAATGCTCAAAGGACAATGCAATGTGATTGTGAAATAAAACCTGTCTCTAAAATCATAGTTCAGTTGCTTTCAGAAACTGCATCCATGACTGACTTTGACTGTTTTATGTATTATTTGTATTATTTTGATGGTGCAATCTGAACTGACACATTTTACTGGCTACGTAAATATGTTTTTATTTTATTTTTTTTTACCATTTCTTAAGCCCCGTTCACACCAAGAATGATAATTATAAAGATAACTATAAAGATAACGATATTAGCGTCCACACCAGCGAACGATATCGTCTGTTTATTCCAAGCGTACATGCGTCTGCCGCTTTAAATTCTTGAGCTCGTTACAGCAGGATGGATTCTGATTGGCTGTCAATTTTTTATCGTTAATCAGCTGCAGAAAAATCGTTTTGAAAGTGATTCCAACGATATCGTTTCTCTTTGTCTTTATCATTATAGTTGTGGTGGTGTGGACTCTGCTATTCTTTAATATTGAGAACGATTTTTAGAACTATATCTTTATCGTTATCTTTATAGTTATCGTTCTTGGTCTGAACGGGGCTTTACTCACACCAACCTCATAAATGAATATTCACTGAAAAGCAACTGTGACATGTAAGCCAGCAATCATTAAAGGAATATTTCACCCAAAAAAAAATGTGCACTCTCAGGACATTCAATATGAAGATGAGTTTGTTTCTTCATCAGAGAAGTTTTTTTTGGAGAAATTTACATAATTACATCCCTTGCTCACCAATGGATCCTCTGCAGTGAATGGGTGCCGTCAGAATTAGAGTTCAAATAGCGGATAAAAACATCACAATAATCCACAAGTCAAAATGTTTTTAGTCAAGACTTTTTCCCCTGGAGAAAGCGTTATTATGGATTATGGACTTACATTTCGGCAAGAAACAAAGGTTTAAAGAAAGCGAAACTACTTTGTTTGGCCTTCCAAAAGAGGACGATATCGCTTCGTCATGCCTGGAGCAGATTCGTGCTGGTCACTGAAGAAATACTTCAACTTCGCGCTGTCGATCGCCGCAGTCCAGCCCGGGGTCGTCACATGTGGTTGCCGCAGGCATCACAATATGGTAAGAGACGTAACATTTCCATCACACGCTTGAGGAATTCGGCCAATCACAACGCACTGGATAGCTGGCCAATCAGAGCACACCTCGCTTTTTCAGACCGATGAGCTTTGTAAAAATGCACGCGTTTCAGAAAGGCGAGGCATAGAGGAGAAACAATGTACAGTATGTGGAAAATAATGTGTTTTTTTAACCTTAAACCGCATAAACGCATTTCATTACACCACATACACAAAATAATGTTCTTTTTAGCAGCATCATATGACCCCTTTAAAACATCTTAATAATGTATTTATTTCTTACAAACACACAGCTTTTCACTTCACAAGAGGTTTACTGATGTACTGGAGTTGTGTGGATTACTTTTGGATTTTTGTGATGTTTTTATCAGCTGTTTGGGCTCTCGTTCTGACGGCACCTATTCACTGCAAAGGATCCAACTGTGAGCAAATGATATAATGCTAAATTTGTACAAATCTGATGAAGAAACAAGTTCATCTGCATCTTGGATGGCTTGAGGGTGAGTACATTTTCAGCAAATTTTATTTTTTGGGTGAACTACTCCTTTAAAACCATGCATACTCAGAATGATCATACTAGGGCCTTTCGCACCGCTTTAGTTCCAGAACTAAATGTACAGTACTAAAGTACTGGGACGATTTTGCGCGAACTATTTCCCAGTACCATTTAAAGGGTTGCATTCGCACCGAGAGTGTGTACTAAGAAGTGACGTATGCCGGTCGACAGCGACATCATTTGTGCGCGGCGTTCAACAACAGAAACAAAGAAAAACAACGTTAACAACAGGAGGATGGAGGACGCTGTGATCGTAGCTGTTTGCTTGTTGTGTCTCGCGGGTTTCACAATAATGGACATGGAATGTCGATGTATACGTAAAGCGATTGAAAGAACGGAAAGGAGGACTAAGAATCTCCAACCACAACTGGCAGTGCTCCATTTGCTACAAGTGCCTTCACTTCAGCGTCCGTCCATCTATCACTGTTCTCCATACTTGCGAAATAAGTTGACACAATGTTTACAGTATGTTTACACGGCGTTTTAAATCATGGCGGGTGAGGGCGTTTTCGTACGCGTTTGGCCAATCAATGTCTACTTACGTCACGATTAGTACCAGTTGTGCTGGTTAGATGCTGCTCCGGAGTAGGAGCTAATTTGGTTCTCGATAAAGGCAGTCCGGTACTAAAATCGCACCCAGTTCCGGCGGTGCGAAAACGCCAAAAAGTGGGTAGTTCCACAATCAGTTCTGGTACTATGAAAAGGTTCCTGCGGTGCGAAGGGCCCTAATATAAAATGAGTAACTGTGAAAAAAGGACTCCAAATTATTTTCTGTAAAAATTTCACGTCATGTTCCTCAATATACTGTCCAGTATTTGGAATAATTTATTTAGAATTATATCTTTTGAGAATCACTAAGATAAATAAAAGGTTAGAAACTACTGCAGTAAGTAATGCTTTAAATTGAAAATGCAGTAAAAAAGAAGAAAGGAAGAATGTCTGCCCTCTAGTGGACCACCTGCATTTAAGCGGGAACCCTGCATGCAATCTGACACCAGGTTCAACAGAGACAGTATCTGTGATCTGTGACTTTTGTAATACTGTGAAGGCAATTTTTGCTTCACAATTTTACACAAACATTTTAAATAAAATGAGAGACGTGTAATAAAATGAGAGACATGAGAGTTATTGTAAGAAAATCCAACAAATTTCACTCTTATGTACCTGATTCACGACCTCAAAGTAGAATGCAAGAGTGGTGTTTGGATCCAGTCCACAAATCTTCCACTGACTTGTGCCACCAGTTCCTATTTCCTACAAGCAGAAGTCAAAATGAATGTATGTTCTCTGCATTGCCAGGGAAGACACTGAACCTAAAAGAAAATGTATAGCCTACTTGATTTAAGATAGATGAGCTACTTACGTTTTCTGACACACAGGGACCTTTGGCGTTCAGGGAGACACATGGGCCGATTGCTCCAGAAATCTTTATCTCTCTTGAAGTCTGAAATAATAGTTTAATAAGATTATAACGTAACCCACATATAGCACAATTAAATACTGAAAGAATTAAAACAGTCAAGACAACAGAACAATTATATAAAAAGAAAAGCAAGCCACCTTAATCTCAAGAGTCCCTGCAAATGCCATCTTAAAAGAGCCCTGCTCGTCCTTTGTGAAAACTCTCTGGAAAGTTTGCTTGAACAGGGATGTGTTGAAAGAGTCTGCCATGACCATATAACCCCTGCCATTTACACAAAAGCAGAAAGATATACTGTTGAAGACAGTCTAAATACAAGGCAAGTTTACAATCAGGACAAAAATCCTTTATTAAAACACCATAATAGCAAAAGAAGAGAGTTTCACACATTTCTGAAAAAGTGTTTGCTCATACTAAAAATATTGGGGATAGAAATATGTCTAGATTTATGTTTCCTGGCTCTCAACATGTTTTAATATGCACCAGAGTCCCCTCAAATCTCTAAACATGCACTGTCAGCATGCTGAAACACAATTTAAAATGAAAATTGAAAACCTTTTTTGAATCACTTACCCTGTATGGTTGGTGCAGCACTTCATTTCCAGTAATCCTGTCTGATCCAGAGCGCATGCATAAATATCAATGATGTGTCCATTGGCAGCAGCACGGTTGGCCAAGGCTTCATAGTGCTACAAGGGAATGAAGTACAATTTTAAATGTGTACAGAAACAACATTCAAACTTCAAACAGAATAGGAATAGCTCAGATAGTAGTGCATGGGCATTATCAACGCCAAGGTCATGGGTTCGATTCCCAGGGTAAGCAAGATCTAATAAAATGTCTACCTTGAATACACTTGCCTAAACATGTGGTAAAATGCATAAATGTAGATGTAAACTCAAAAGTGGTAAGAATTAGGATAATCAGCTTTTACGGACCAGCTGATTGCCGGTTTTCACATGTAATGCTGTATGAATAAAAAAATATGCAGTTGTTTTTCCAGAAAATAACACTCCAATATTACTGTGTTCTGCTTTGAATTTTCAAACAGTTGAAAACGCAAAGGTCAGTTCAATTGTGAACTTTCCAATGCACCTCTGTGACCCATCACTCAACTAGTACAGTCACTTCAAGATACTCCATCTTTATGAAATCACTGGTATCAATCATTGGCTTCTACCAAGCCAATCATACAGACAACAAATACGGGAAGACTCACTTTAGTGGCTTTCTTCATGAACTTGGCATTGTCTTTCTCAATGTCGTGCCAGGATCTAATAGGCGTTTTCAGTTCATCTCCTACCACCATACCCGGACCCTGAGTGGCGGGCCCACCGATGAAAGCCATGATGCGAGCACCAGTGTTAGGGAAAGTGCACTACAAGAGGGAAGGAAATGGAGGGCATCAATAACAAGCACAAAGCTTTGGACACACTTGAATGAATTTATGCATTTTATGATCTTAAAAACCTTTTGAATTTGAATTTTTGAATTGAAATATGTATTTTTGAGCAGAATAGTGAATAAAAAGCTGTCAATGAGTATCCAGTACACATTGGAAACTTCTTCAGTGCAGTTTAAAAAGCATCCCAGGATGCACTTCAAGATGTTGAGTTTTTGAGCAGATCCAAAGTGTGCAAAACTACATTGAAGAAGCTATACTTTTTGATCACAATCTAATTCCCATTCTTCTTTTTGTGTTACTTCATAGATTGAATGCCTTTATTATTAGTCTAAAGTGAGGAAAATAGTAATAATAAAGAATGAGAAGGCGTGTCCAAACTGGTATTGTAAACTTATAATTTAGTAACTGCAGCTGGTAGCAAAATGGTCATCACAGCAGACCATTGAAGATAATAACATAAATCATGACAGTCACCTCTAACAGACCAACAGCAATGGAAAGAGCCACTCCGAGTGATCTCAGTGGTCGTTTTCCTTGAGTGACGGGCCAGGGGTCTCTCTGCAGCTCTCCCAGCAAATCTGTCAGATTCATATCTATCTTCTGTACTGGCTGCAGAAACCTGAGCACATATATAATCAGTGACTACCATAAGTCTTCATTCATATCGGTTTGTTCAACTGGTCCCACGACTGAGCTTGGTTTCCCAAGGTTTTTTTCCCCACTACTATTAACTGATGGAGTTTGGGTTGCTTGTCAACTGTTGCCTTTGGCTTGCTAGTTGGGGTTTAAAAGACACTTAATGTTCAGTAATATTATCAATTTGACTGCACTGATACTATCGGATGAGAACAAATCTTGAACTGAATTGTGCTGGATGACGACACTATTGTCTTCTGTAGAGACGCTTTATAGCTGAATTGAATTTGTTTCATAATGGATGGATTTTGCAACTTCGACACTGTTATTAGACTGAATTGAATCAACACTGAACTTGAGCTGAATAACGACAGTGTTGTCTTCTTCAGAGCGGTTTATAGCTGAATAAAACTTGTTTTATAATTGATGAATTTTACATAGTTATTAAAAGTGCCATAGAATGCATTGATACAATATTTTAAATTGTTCTCCGATATCTACATAGAAGGTATGTGGCTTAGGTAAGGGCAAAAAATCTCCAGAAACGGTTTTACATGTCCATTTACAACCCTAGGATTTGTCCCTAGAATGAAATGGTCTGTTTTTACCTTATTTGGAAGGGTCATGAATAATAATGTTGAGCTCTGCTCTGATTGGCTGTTTCACAGTGAAGCTCATTTCAGTAGCTCACACAGCAGGAAGGAAACACAGGGAAAATATATATATTTCAATACTGTCTCTCGCAGTTATATCGTTGGGTAATTATACTGTATATAAAATGCGGGCATCAGGGAGCCGCTATTAATATGCGGGGCATTGAAACTGCTTTCGAATCACTTTTTACTTTCACTTTCGCGATTTGCGATCGCACGTGCTCTATGTAAACTACATCGGCAGTACTTACCACACATTTTACAAGATCAGATGCTTGTCAGTGGTGCTCAGGATCTGTAAATCATTCGCCATCATCCTCAGTCATCTCTCCTTACTCTGTTTATGTGGTAAGTGAAATCTTATGTACTGTAATGTAACAGGCTACCGCTAGCAAGCAGCTAACCATGTCCCTTTAGTGGCTCTCGTTATTTTATGAGAACGCGCGTTATTTGTTTTCCGTGCCTTTCTGAATACAGACACCAACCCATCCCTGCACATCACATCCCCTGCACAGCCTGGAACATAACATTTATTTCCATGATCTGCCATTTTTGCTATTATCCTCGCTTGTTTCTTCACAATACCTGCAGAACTTCTGATGATTCGGCTGTTCAGTGTGCAGGTTCGGCTGGCGGCTGGCATAGAACATGGGCGGGTATATGCAAATGTTGGGGGCGTAACTATTAGTGATCCCGACTGTAATGTCACAGTCGGTGTTGTTCTGATTCGCCTATTTTTCAGTGGTCTTTTGCATGCACGAGATTTACATAAGAAGGAGGAAACAATGGTGTTTGAGGCTCACGGTATGTCATTTCCATGTACAGAACTGTTATTATTCAGCTATGCCAAGGTAAATACAGTTTTCCATTCTATGGCACCTTTAAACTGAACTGATTCAACACTGAACTGACTTGAGCTGACACTAGAGCTGGTTTACAGCAGAATTTGAATTTGTCTCATATTTGATAAAGTTTGCATCATTGATTCTGTTATCACAGTTTATCACTCTGAAGCTGCTTTGATACAGTCTATAATGTATAAAGCACTATATAAATAAAGCTGACTTGACAAGACAACTCCAGAGATTGATTAAAAATATCAGAAGTTGAACAGCTATCAAGATTCTTAAAAGCATCAATTTGATTACGCAAATTATTCTTTATACAGTCAGAAGATTTACATTTGCAAAGCAGCTATAAAAACACATTTAGCTCACCTGTTTGAAGGAGGAACCTGAGGCTGTTGTGGCCCTCGGCCTGCCTGTGCTGCAGCTGGTTTAGTTAACCCAAGCATCTCCTGTACACAAGATTTATCCAATTAAAATATTTTATATTAAGAGACATTTGTGCTGATTAGTTTAGTCAAACACCTGTATCCTAAATTATCTTAAATCACCTGAAGCTGCTTAGCACTGAGGTCTTTGGTGCCCCTGAAGACGTAGCTCTTAGAGATGCCCTCACAGCCCAGCTCGTGAACCTGGACCATGCGTCCAAACGTAATGAGGCCCACCAGAGCAGTGGGAGGCAGCAGGCTGAGGGACATCTGAAGCGACTCCTTCAGTGCCTGCAGATCATCATCTTCCATGCATGTGTCCACCACATACAGGAAGTTCAGGGGCATCTGTGGACCACGCTACAGAAAATAAATAGAACCAACGAGTGAAAGTTACTATTCATGAATTTCAAGTGATCTTCATCTCAATCTATATAACAGATCAGTAATTATTTTATTGCACGACTGCTACTTTTTTTTATATTTATTGCACGACTGGTAAGTGTTCATTTTGCACAAAGTATACATATTTAGTTCTAGTGTTTAGTATTTATATGGCAATGAAAGGTGGTTAATTAAAATGTTTACCTGGACAACATATTCAATAGTGGAGAACTGTGGAAGAAGCTCAGCAGGTTGGTTGACCTCCGATATTCCAGCGTAAGTTGGCGGGAACTATGGCAGGACAAGTGTCATTAATTAATTAACACTTTAAAAAATGCAATGCACTTTTCTTGGGCTGCAACCACTAACCGATAAAATCAATAAGAAAATAATCATCCACAAATATGATTATCGATTAATGGCATCTGTGCACTCTGCATACAAAACATCACTTTACAGTAGTGAATAAATAATTTCTATATATATTTCTGCATATATTTTAAATTTGTTTGGCCTGTCAGGCACTCTGGCAGATGTGTGTGCTGTTTAATGCATTTGGAATGTCTTTTTCCTCAGCTTATAACCTACATTTTACAGTTTTATCCTTATCTGTCAAGCAGGAATTTCCATTTTTGCATAAAGGCTCGCCCTAACAGCAAGTGAGTCTCTGTCACACACTTCACACACTTCAGTGAATGAGCATCAACACGCATATGCACATCAAACAGACAGAGTGCCATAATTCTAAAATATACATTTTACTAAAAATATTTCTTGTTAGACATTAAATGTAAGTTTAAAATTTCAGATGTAATTGTATTTTTCACGACAGCAGAAACAGTAAAGGGACTACTGTAATGTAGTATAAATATATTATGTTCACATGAGTGAATGTGCGTTCCTCCTACTTTGTGCTAATTTCAAATGGTAAACAATCTGTTTAAATGTAACCCGTTTTGCACATAATGTTTAATTTTAAGCCTACAGTACATACATACATTCAGTATAATTATTTCCACAAAACTGCACATTGTTTTGAGGATGTGGAATAACAGTCTTTCGAATAACTGATCAGAATTACTTTATATTTTAATTAAAATTATGATTTTTTATTTTTATGATTTATGATTTTTGGATTTTTCATCCAATTAATCGAGGAAATAATCTACGGATTCATTCATTATCAAGATGATTCTTAGTTGCAGCTCTACACTTTTCAAAACTGCAATGACTTTACCTGGTTTCTCTGATAACAGAAGTTGCAAGCCCAGAGTTTTGCTCTGTAATCCACTTGACTGCGAAAAAAGAAAAAAACAGAAGCATAATAATATTAGGGCATCACAAGTAATGTATCCAGCTTTCATAATAAACGTGTTTATTTGGAAATTACTGCAATGGATAAGAAGTAGATCCTCCATCTGTGAACTCATTATGCTGTCTGCTCTGACTAAACAGACTTACCACAGAGGATTGAGCACAGCTCGACACGTGGCCCGGCTGCACAGAACTGGCTCGTACTGAATCGGGGGAAGATCCGGCCGCTCCTTCAGCGGGGTGAACAGGGAAGCCACCGGAACCACCATACGCGTGGCTTCCAGACGACTGGACGGCCAAACGTTCCAACTGAAACGGACACCATCGCGGTCCTCGTTTTGCTGGATGAACTCCTGGAAAGTCGCCATAACACCCTCTGGAATCTACCAGTTTTACAAGGTTAATAGATAAGCGAGAGAAATATATGCGGTGATATATTCAAATAAGACATGCAATCTGATCTGTGTGTATATTACAGTCGGATTTATCGTTAGTCTTTGGACACAGGGCAAACTATAATGTCAAATCACACATCATCAACAAAAGCTGAAATGAGATAAGAGATACAAGTTCAGAAAGCATCTTTGATGCTAAATGCTGTCTAGGTAGGCCACTCACTAGGTTTTGAATCATATACTAGGGGTTTTCAAACTTTCTGATGCCACAGACCACTTTCCTTAAATATAAAGGCAGCTATACATGTTCTTTTAAAAAGACAATTACAGTATACTGAAAAATACAAATGTATTTAAACATATAATTTATTTATTAATACTTGTGCTTATTTTATCTACCTTTATTTTATATTCCCCCCCTCTGCAAAGTATAAGCAGTATGTGCTCAATTATGTCATGCCAAAAATGCTTTAAAGGGGTTTTTTTTTCACAGAATGGATTATTTTTTACGCTCATTTATTATTATTATTATTATGCAATGCATTTTTCTGAACTTTCTCGCCAGTTTGAAAACTCCATAGCTACAGATGAACACCAAAAATGCCACATGTGCAGATGAGAAGAACACAAACCAATGAAGTAAGAGACGTACTAAAAACGATCAAGTGTGTCAATTACAACACTTTTGGGGAAATATTAAGATACACAATAAGTAAGCAAAGCAACAATCTGCCCGATTTTCAAATAAGTGAACATTCCAACATTAGCTCATAACAAATGTTAGGGTAATTCATTTACTTTTTGATTTACATAAAACTGCGGTTATGCAGTCAGTTATATAGACAAATCGCACTTTGGTGAATAAGTTTAGTTTTAGTTTTTTTTTTGTTTACTTGAACTACAAGAATCCACTGGGGGCGTCAGCCCACCCTTCCAAATTAGCCACAGAAAGCTAGTCCTGTAGCTTAGGAAATAGAAATCAGCTTACATCAACATGAAGACAATTTGAGAGCACAACTACTTTATAAAGATTTGGTTTGATCAAACATTTCAGTAAACAGCCCCTGCGATGACCTGCCTGCTGATGTACACATGATGCTTCCAGTCAACACTGAGTTCAAGCTAAATGCCCTTTAAACCCGCGATTTCTCGCACCACAGTCCATCTAAGGCTTCACATTAATCACCATTAATCATAGAATCATTAGCGTAATATATACCATCATCTATTTGTGAAGAGTAAGTGCTTTGACGTACCTGGAGCCTTGATTTAGCGTCTCCACGGAGACTCTCAGTCAGTGACAGCGAGCTCGCGAGCTGATGACGTAGCAGCTCAACATGGCGTCGGTGCCACGTCAAGAGCCCGACACTTATTTCAAAATGCGTTTGAAGAGTTGTATTATACACGTTATCTTTGAGACCTTAATCTTTTTTAATTTTAAATATTAAAAATTATATATAATTTTATAAATTATATTAAGGGAAATTAAGTTAATTCCCCCTAAAATTATTAAACTTTAATAGTTTTATAGATTTTTTAAAATTATTTTAAATGTTAAATATGAAAATGTTTATATACATCATATTAGAAAAAAAGTCCCACTTCAATTAATTGATTAATAAATGCGTTCAATTATAAATGTAATTAATACAATTTAAGTATTAAAACAAAACAAAAAAAGTATCATTTAGGTAACTTTTATTATGTCTTTCATTGGTTTTATAAGTAATTCAAAACTGAATGCGAACAATTATATTTTCACTCATTGGTTGCTAAGCTTAAAGGCAATCATTTACGATTTAAAAGAACAGATTGTTTTAGGTATTTACAATTATTTGACCAGGGATACAACACAAAGATTACTAACTAATCTCTGTGCAGATGTGTCAAGCTGTTGCTTTGCAAAGTCTGGATTACAAATGTACATAATAAACATTACAAGTATTATGGTCAGTCTGTGTAAAAAAGGGAACAAATTAAATATTTGATGACAATTTCAGTATAATCAAATGAAAAAGGATAAAAAGACAATTAAAATTCAGTTAAAATGTTGCCATATAAATTTTATTATAACTGACAAAATATTGTCACATACTTTTGCAACTACTGTGTTCATCTCTGATACAAAGCCAAAGCTTTTCTATGGTAAGTCAAGAAATTATATTTAATTATACAATAAACCATGATTGCTACTTATGAATATCTTATGCTATGAAGATGGTCATAGCAATTACTATGTAAAATCATATAACCTTTACGCCTTTACCCTTGATCCAGTTTAGAGATAGTGAAAGTGGTCAGTTGTTAGTAAGTCTGACAATATTGTGAAGCACTCAGATGTCAGTGTGTATATTTGCCAAACCGATGACTCTGACATCACAAGACATTGCTGGACTTGATCTCAGGAAGCAAAATTTCTTCTAGCAGTCCCCATTATCAGTCCTTCTCCAGAAACACTGGGCTTTACATGTAAATGAGCCTGTTTATTGTTTTACACCATTTAAATAATTAAATGACTTGTGGCAAGACAAAACCATCAAACCATCTTCATCCGCCCAGGTTTTGGTTGCTAAAACCATCAAACTCTTTTGCATCCACTGTTTGCAGGTTCAGAGGTTCACATGTTGTTAAATCCCATCATGCCTTTCATGTTGCCAGCAGCTCCCTGCTGAAACTGCCTCATCATGGACTGCAGTCCAGCCATGCCACCTTAAAGAAACAAAGATAAATGTCTTTAAGTAAGGCTTTTACAACCATCATCTATATTCACAGATCCTCACATGTATCACAGTGACGTGTCATTTAAAAATGCAATTTTGGTCATTTCAAATAGGTTCTTGCATACAATAACTGCCACTTGTATAGTGAAGATAAATCAAATACTGCTGCCCATGGTCTAGTAGAAATAAAGCATTTTGGGGTGAAAAGGGAGCTCATACCCATGTGGTGAAGCACTCTGGGATCCATCATTTTAGCCATCTGCTGGTTCAGTTTCGCCATCTGTGATGGGTTGACGTTCTTGGACATGTCCCCTCCTTTATTAAAACAATGATACCATGAGTCACTGATTTTAAATGCATCATGAAACTAACATTTTGAATGCATCAAGTTCAAATCACTCAACCTTTAAATAAGCCTTTAATGCCTCCCATCTTCTTGACCATCTGGGCGAACTTTGTGTACTGTGTGAGTAACTCTTGTACATCCCTGGTAGCCACTCCAGATCCCCGGGCCACTCGCTGGATGCGGTTAGGCTGTTTACTGAAGAGCTTGGCACCATCTTTGTTGTCAAGTTCTGAGATGAAAAACCACAATATATGTTAACTAAATCGTTCTAGTTCAAATCTATGCCTAAACTTTCCAATTTAGAGAAGTCTGCGCATTATTCTGTTTTTAACCAGTATTAAAACAAACAAAAAAAGCACATACCCTGGTCATTCATACTATCCATTATTGTCATGAGTTTCTTTAATCTGGCCATAGACTCCTGCTCATTTCCTAACCCCCCCCCCCCAGAAATTTTAAGAAAAGAACCACTCAGTGGATAACCATAATTAAATATCCTTTCAGTAAAAGTTGTCATTACCATGATCTGACCAAAAGGTCCCATCTTCATGATGTTCTGAAACTGTTCATACATGTCCCTGAGTGTAAACTGACCTAAGAGAGAGAAACGTCATATCTGTTGGTGAAAAGCACTGGAAAATATCTTGTTGTAGTGTAAAAACACTGAACACACAAAAGTACACATTTTTATACAAATAATGTTCTAGTTACCATGTTTGAGCTTGTCTATTAGCTCCTCATTGTCATCAAGCTTTAGTTCATTCACTTTATCGATCAGTCCCTCAATATCTCCCATACCTAGAGTAAAAATAAGAATTGCAACATAAATAACACAGTTCCAACATCCAGTTAACAAATCATGAAAATGAATTGAAAATGTACTCACCTTCAGACCATCCAAGATGAGGAGTTTGTTTCTTAATTGGAACAGATTTGAAGAAATTTAGCATTACGTCACTAGCTCACAAATGGATCCTCTGCAGTGAATGGGTGCCGTCAGAATGAGTGTCCAAACAGCTGATAAAAACATCACAATAATCTACAAATAACTCACACGACTCCAGTCCATCAATTAATGACTTGTTGGATTTATTTCTTACAAACATGCATCTTTTTGCTTCACAAGGTGTTAACTGATGGACTGGGGTTGCGTGGATTGCTTGTGGTTCATTGTGATGTTTTTATCAGCTGTTTGGACTCTCATTCTGACAGCACCCATTCACTGCAGAGGATCCGTTGGTGAGCAAGTGAAGGAATGCTTAATTTCTCCAAATCTGTTCTGATCAGGAAACAAATGCATCTACATCTTCGATGGCCTAAGGATATGCACATTTTAAGGAATTTTTCATTTTTTGGTGAACTATTCCTTTAACTAAACAGCAGCTCAGCAGTATATTCAAACCTTACCAAGCAGTTTGCTTATGAAGGGTTGAGTCTTGAAAGGCTCTAAGTCATCGATGTGCTCGCCTGTGCCGATAAAAATGATGGGACTCTTTGTGGCCGCCACACTGTAAACGTAAATTACATCAACTCCTGCATTTACTTACTTGAGTGCTGAAAGTAAAACACATAAAAGTTTGTACTTACGCACTGAGCGCACCACCACCCTTGGCATGGCCATCCAGTTTGGTGACAATAACAGAAGCCACATCTACCTTGTCTTTGAAGGCCTTAGCCTGAGCCTCACAAGCCTGACCAATGGAGGCGTCCATCACGTACACTATGTTGTCAGGTTGCTGTGGGAACAGACAATAAAAGCCATAAAGCAACAGGCTTTACATCAATTATATCATTTATGTTTTACTATATATTGCTGTTTGATTTTTAATCAAAACAGAGGAAGTCTTTCACTTACCACAGCATTTGACACCTGAAGCATTTCTTCAAAAAGTGAGTCTTCCTGTTTATGTCTACCGCTAGTGTCCACAATGATTATTTCAAAGTTTTCTGTCTTGAATTTTTCCACACCCTCTGAAGCTATGATCACTGGATCCATTTCTGTGTAACTGTTAATACACACCAACATGAATCGATGATTAGGTTTGGTGAGCAGATGAAATACAATAGTACCAGTGTGGTGCGTAAAATAACACTTTTATTACCTCCCATAAAAGGGTATTCTGGCTTTTGTTGCATTTTGCTTGAGTTGGTCAAAGGCACCTTTATAAACAAACAAAACAATTTGACTTTTTTTTTTCAGATGTGCAGAAAGCATTACTGTGCAAATACATGTAAAGATAGAGTCAGAATACCTGCTCTGAATGTGTCAGCGCAAATCAAACATGTCTTCCATCCTTTTCTTTGGAAGTAGTATGCCAACTAATAAAAAGAACAAAGTCAAAGTCAACTTTTTCTAGCACATCACATGGCAGTAGACAAAAAAACAAACACAGTTTCTTCAGGAAACAACAGAGAGACATGTAATAGACAGTCAGAAGTAAAAGACAACAGTAAATACGGACAAAAAATACAGACAATAGTATCACACGATACACGGCGTAAAAGCAGAATTGAGGGTAAGTTATAAATATATTAACTGAATATAATGTATACAGGATTGCATATAGAAGAGAGATTGTCACAATTTTCTCATTTCAACTTAGTTTTTTTCCTCCAAACTTTCTTGCTTTTATGATTAGCTGTATAAAAACAGGTCCATAATCTAAAATCTCAGGGCAAATACCCAAGAACTGCTCACCTTAGAACATGTTGTGGTTTTCCCACTGCCCTGCAGACCAACAAACATGATAACATTGTTCTTTCCCTTCGTGGGAGTCCAGGCTTTCACTCCAGGATCCACCAGCTGCAATAAAAACACTCTGTATTTATCTTCTAGAATACATTTCTATCATCGGGCAGTCAATTCCATTTAGTTTAATGTAGTTTCTCTATTTTATGATGAAAGTTCCTGAGCTACAGGGTGTAAACAAGTACAAGACTCCCTGAGGAACAACGTGAAAACCAATATTTATCAGACATAAATAGCAAACTATCATTTACCTTGACAAGTTCCTTGAAAACAGCATGCTGGATCATTCTCCTCTTGTTTAGGCCAGAAGCCATTTCCTCCAGATCAATGGCTGCCCTGAGATTACAGAGCAGTTATAAAGTAAAAAGACATTTTATAACAGGGAATTCACTATATAAATGGCCAAAAACGAAAGAAATAAAATAAAAAAAATAACTCTTGTTACTTACTTGACATTTTCTCTAAGCTGCTTTACCAACTTGATATTCACATCAGCCTCCAGTAGGGCAGCACAGACCTCCTTGAGCATAGCATTTAATACCTAAGGAAGATTGTAAATAAGTTAACATTTTATGATGGGTCACGATGCTTAACAAGCCTGATTTTAAGATTGCATCATATTCACTGCACCTCTTCGTTGATGATGGTGGCATTGCTGAGAGACCTCAAAGCTGAGGTTATTTTCCTCCCCAGATCAGCTAAAACCATTTTTGCGGTTTAAGAGCTGTCAACCTGCAACAGGGGATTAAGGTTACATCAGGTAGCCAAAATTAAAAGAGAGAGAGATTTTCTATACACCCAGCTTTCAGTCATTGGAGCACTGAGTAGAACCTCAATTACGACATTAAAAGTGTGATTGATGTAATGTAGACTTCCTTACTTGATAGGTGGGTGAATGAGACTTTCCAATGTGGTGGGGTTTCCCCCCAAAACAATCCTCCTGTCACTGCTCACTCTGAACCTCTAGACTCAAGTGGAACCAGAGCAATGATGTTTTCAACCTTACCAAACAAACACAAATCAAAACAATGTTATCGCGGATCATTTAAGACATGGTTCGTTACTATGTTAAAACATAAATGTTGGCACACCCATGAGTAATTGAAACTATTATAAAATCATAATATAATATATATTTGTATGTTTTATAAGACTGACTCCGTTATAGTTCTGTACTGAAATAAGGCCAGACGTCCGTTGTGAAACGCATTAGCGTGGTCGATTTAATTAAAGACAGGACTAAAATCATGTTTAAATCAAACCAACATCAAATTCAGATGTTCTGTATCCAAATTATTAATATAAAGACATACGTTTCGATTAAATATTACTTACCTAAACTCGCAGCAGCTGCTTTTCGGCGAGTGGAACAGCGACTGCAGACGTCATCTAACCCCAACATCCCGTGACGTGACTTTACTTCCGTGTACAATAAGAGTTAGCTTTCTATTATGAAAGAAAAATATTATTTGTAATTTAGATTCGTTTTCACTCATTGTTCATTTAACTTAAGTAAAATTAATATCTGTCTGTGTATATAAATTAGAATATACGTTGATACCATCACTGTTTCTTTACATTATTCTATTATTTACATTAGAGATGTTGCTCATGGAGTAAAATCTTAAGGTGGCACAGAAGTTTATAAAACTGATTTGAACTTAGAACTGAAAGGTTGGATTTTTTACCTAAGATTCATTAGAATCTAAATAATGCGATTAAAATTACAAATATAAATGTTGGTTTTTACCACCTGGAATAGTTAATCAGAATGACAAAATGTACCGTTCTACCTTAACTTATATCACACGCTTCCCACTACTGCGTACTGCAGACCCATGTGTTGCTCAGTAGCATGTTTGCAACCTAGACTAGAGTGTGTTTGACGTAAGATAAGTATCAAGCAAGCGCTTGAATCAATGAATTTTAACGATGCAAAGAATGAAATTCTGCAGGTGTTGTCCAAGACGGAGAGACAACATCTTCCAAAGCTGTTAGAATGGTTGAAAACATCCGGTAAATGCGCAGTTGAAATCTTTTGTTATTGTTTTGTCAGCTATAGGTTAGATTGTGTGCAAGGTTTTCTCCAGTTTATTTATATCTTATTTAGACTATATTAAGCACTTGATCATGGACGTAAATCAGTTACATTTTTTTATCTATATTTTCAGATGATCTGGATGATTTCCTGGTGGATAACCAAAGTGTTATTCTTCAAAGTATTGCAGAAGACTTAAGGGTTTGCCTGTCACTGGAGGCTATGGTTCCCTCAGAGTCTGTGGCTATTCAGAAGGTCTGTTCATTAGATCTTTAGTATTTTACTCTGGCATTCACTACTATATTGTTAGATCCTAAAGCGTACTTTAATGTTTAGACTCAACAGAAACCTCATCCCACTGTACATGTGGATGCATTCTTATATGATGAAGAAGCTGTGGATTCATTGTGTGAGGAGGGAAAAATGAGTCGCAACTACTGCCTCAACTGTGGATCGCACAGAACAGCACCGCTGGGTGAGTGTTTACATGGAGACTGGGCTATGTATTACATAAACTCATGCAATAATACAGCCACATCATAATATGCCATTTTTAATGTTTCACAGAGTTCATCTCGCATTCATTCTCAATCCCTGAGCTCCAGTTCCTATTCCACAATGTTCTTCCAGACCTCACAGGAAAACTGGTGGTGGATGTGGGATCTAGACTTGGAGCTGTGCTATTTGGGGTAAATTGCTGGTAATAGTTTAATTAAACACAACTAAACTCCTTATTGATTGTAAATTACCTGACATTTACAGGAACAACCCCCCTGGGGCAACCAGGGGTTAAAGGAATAGTTCACCCAAAAAATTAAAATTTGCTGAAAATGTACTTACCCTCAGGCCATCCAAGATGTAGATGAGTTGATTTCTTCAGATACAGGAACAGATACAGATCAATTTAGCATTTCATCACTTGCTCACCAACGGATCCTCTGCAGTGAATGGGTGCCGTCAGAATAAGAGTCCAAACAGCTGATAAAAACATCACAATAATCCACAAGTAATTCACACGACTCCAGTCTATCAATTAACATCTTGTGTAGTGAAAAGCTGCATGTTTGTAATAAACAAATTCAACAAATTATAATACAAGTCCTATATCCATAATATTGCTTTCTCCAGTGAAAATCATCTCATCTGAATCAGGACAGGAATACGCACAGACCGAGCACCGTTTACAAGCGAAGAAAGTCCATAACAGTTATAAGCTAATATGTCTGTGGATATTGATTTGAGGGGACAACATGGGATGGACTTTTTCAAAGAAGGAAGCATTATTACGGATTATGGACTTATAATTTGGCAAGAAGTGACAGTTTAAAGTTAAAATGTCTCAACAATTACCTTGTTTCTTTCACACATGTGGACTTGAGTCGTGTGAATTACTAGTGGATTATTGTGATGTTTTTATCAGCTGTTTGGACTCTCATTCTGACGGCACCCATTCACTGCAGAGGATCCATTGGTGAGCAAGTGATATAACACTACATTTACATCCAAATCTGTTCTGATGAAGAAGTAAATTTGATCAAATTTGAATAAGTACATTTTTTGAAAAGTTTTTGGGTGAATTATTCCTTTAACTGCCTTGCCCTGCTGGGTTTAAACCTGCAACCTTTTACTTACCAGTCCAGATCTGTAGCCACTAGGCTACACCAGCTTTATCTTTCTTGTTAAAACATGGTCTGATGGTACATCTATGTTATTGCCTCAGATAGATCATTTTTCTCTCCTCAGGGCTACCTGTACAGTGCAGCATCTCAGCTTGTGGGGGTTGAAATAAGCTCAGAGTTTGTCAAGCTTCAAACAATGGCTGTAGAGAAATATGGCTTCAGTGACAGAATTCAGGTAATCAATCAAACCATTTCTTTGTTATGGTAATTGTTTTGTCTGATAGTATATTTACAAAGATGTTTAATGTGCACTGCATAGGTGATTCATGCAGATATCCGCTCTCAGGCTGCCTTAGTGCAAAATACAGATGTTCTGATCATGAACAACGTGTTTGAATACTTCATGGAACCGAGTGATCAAATGCAGTAAGTGCCAAACTGTGACTGCACTCAAGAACATGCAGAGATGAGAACAAATGCATAAATAAATGTTTTCTTTATTATAAACAAATGATAAATAGTAACTGTGTGTCTTAAATTAGGTTTAAACTAAAACTTCCCATTTTTTCTTGTCTTTTTTTTCAGAGCTTGGCTATTTATTAGTCAGAATTTCAGAAAGAAAGGTGCACTGTTAGTAACTGTACCCAGCATTCAAGAGGCACTTGCTTTACTTCAGGACGCTGTTGTAAGAAGCTTCTTTCTATCTATGCTATTTCTGAATTTGTCTCTAAATTGTGATTGGCAGTGCAGTTCAACACATTAATACATCAAGAATTCATAAAACAAATCTAATGTTTACAATTTTTTTCTTTCCCAGTTCCTAGAGACATTAGTGCTCAGCCGATGGATAGAAGAAGTACCACTTGATTACTCTGTTTATCTAAAAAATGACACAGATCCAGATTCTCTCAAGCAAATCCATCTTTATAGAGTACTTTGACCCTCAGAAGAGACTCTTATGATACAGTGGAACCAATAAATACGATTAGCCTCAGTGAGGCCTTTAACAGGACAAATTATGCAAATATATTTGATTAAACACAGTATCCTCTTTCGATGAACTTTCACTTGTCAATTTTTAAAGTTGAGTTTGATTGTAAACACATTTATACTTAAAATTGTCCATTTATGTAACTAGCCATACATTTCATATAATCTCTTTATGTCATGTTATGTTTGCATTGCTGTATTAAGCAGTCCACATGTGAGAGTACCCACTTCCTTAGTTTTTTTATTTGTTCAAATGCATTTCTGTCTCCAACTCTTTCTGTTGAAACAGGAAGTAAGGGGGGATCGCTGCATGTGTTTTTTTTTCTCTTTTACAGGCAGAGGTAGTGCCTGGAGACAATTTACGTTCCTTGAGGTTATTTTGCCTTGGGTTATAGCCAAACTCATTCAAGTCACCGACTGATGACTTTAGTTGAGAAGTTGAATTTGTTTGTTAACCCATTATAGCTATTAAAATATAAAAAATAATTTATGATAATGTGGCACAACCTTTTGCTAATTGTAATGACTGTCTGTAAAGCAATGATGAAATTATATATTTGCATATCATACTCTTACAAGAACACTATCATATATCGTATAGCTCAAAACTAACATATATGGATGTAAAGCCACTAAACTTCAATTTTGATAATTATGACGAAATAATATTTTAGCTTCCTTTTATGATTATACTTTCAAGAGTACATTAGGACACGCACAAAAAATGCTTCTAATCATTTGAGAAACTAAGCTTTGTGGTTGGGAAATTTGTCACAGTGATGGCGCTACAATTATCTGCCTTCATTTTCAACCACGGAATAGCTGTCATCAAGTATCAACGCCTACTCAAATATATATTAACCTAAAATAATGTCATTCAAAATGCATGAAGCCTCTGGAAAAACTAAAACCCCATTTCTAGTTTCCCCTCCCACTATTGGCTACGGAGGCGTGATTGGCGCTCAAACCGCCCAATGGAATGTCACAATTGTCGTGTAAGCACCGCCCCCAGCGCTACGCAGTGGGGTAAGTGAACTAGAGCGGATCAAAACTTGTCGTCAACACGCTTATACCCGCTCGGAGAAGTGGGACATATTCTGATACTCGTGTGTTTTTCTTTCTCTTCCGGAGCCGATTATTTTTTTTTACATCAAAGATTTGGTAAATATCAACATTTAAAGTCAGTGTATAGGGCTCATTTGTTATATAGGAACCAAGCGTGTGCTTTATATTCGTTTGAATAAAAAAGGCGAAACATGTGGGCTGGATTTTGAACGTCACCCGGGAAGCGCGTGTCATTAACAAAGACTGAAGAATATCGTTCTTTTTTTTTTAACATTTGAAATCCTAACGGTTTTACTTCAAACCAGTTTCGACGAGCCTCAAAGTCTGACTTTTAATGGAGCCGTATTAATTTGACATTTTCTCACTTTCTAATTGTCTTTTTGTGTTTGTTGTTTTTGAAAGTCCGCGAGAAAGATAAAGAGAAAGGAAAGATGCCGCTTCTCCACAAAAAGCCGTTCGTGAGGCAGAAACCGCCCGCTGATCTCAGACCCGATGAAGAAGTCTTCCTCTGTAAAGTCACACATGAAATCTTCAGGAGCTATGAGTAAGGGATTTTCATTTTATCTCTATTTGTTCATTTCAACTTCCCCTTTGATGCTAGTCAACAGAAGCACTAGAAACTAACAGAAGTGACAGCCCGCTTGAAAGTTTTATTTTTCATTCTTAAAACAACTACCAACCTACATTTATCTTGATTTGATATGTTAAACCAGCTTTATTAATGACCCAACACCCCTGGTGTGAAACAACCTTGAATTTATAAAGACTTGAGGATTTCCCCCTTCATACACCCGGCAGGTGTCAGTTGGAGGCCTTTGCTAACAGAGTTGGCTGCTAGTTAGTTAGCTCAGTTTAGCCAACTAAACCACGATACAAAGAGCAGACGGAGTTAAATAATTCATAAAACTATCTGTCGATGTGTTATAAGAGCTTAAATAGTGCAATATCGCTGGTGGGATGTCCCCGGGAAGCCCCTGTTCGTGTGTTTTTGGGGGGTGTTAGCGGAGATGGGACAGATCTCATCCACACACAGGATGTTGTAGCTTAAAACGTGGTCGCTGCTATTGTTAGTGTGTTTGCTCGTTAGAGGCAGGAGTTTTACTGCTCTTTTCATTATGATGTTGATGTCACTTCACATAAGGCCTTGGGAAACTGACTTGCTGGAATGGGAAAGATTATAATGCCCATGTAGTACTTAGTTGCAACTATTTGGACCGGTCTAGGTGCTCATCTGTCATCGGCTCTTGGAAGTTGTCATTTGTCTTTGTAAGTGATCATGTTGGGATGATGTTCTGAAGTAGGATGCAGATAATAATTTTACTATGTATGAACTATCATTAGGTTTGTTTACAGTTACAACTACTAATTACTTGCAGATAAGGCAAAAAAAATTGACGGATACTGCTTTAAGACCAACTTTCCAATAAATGATATACAAAACAGAAAGAACACGGTTCAAAACACAGTAACTAAATACAAAACACTGAAACTAAATGACAACAATAACAACTTAATATGCTTTGATTATTGTTTTGGTTACTTTTATTATTGATTACTTATGATGATATTCATGACATTGGATTTATTTTAAAATCTGAATGGTCATAAATTGATATTCATCTTTATTTTGGATGTCTGCCTGTTTGTTAAGCGTAAATATGAATGATATACATGCATTATGTGATTAATGTTGAGTTATGAGTGACAACAATTATGTCACCTGGCAGCAGAGCGAGTGACAACATTCACAATTTCTCCAGGAAAGACACGTGTAAGAGCTTTCATTAGTAACGGTTTAGAAATAAAAACCCAAAGACTTGCATTGTGTACATTTCAAGTGAATAAAACTTGTAAAAAAATTATGCATATTGTAGGAGATATAAAATGATTTTGCACCTTTATAGTGTCCAAAAGCTTGATTTTGAACGGGTTTATCATTGAGATTGGTCTTACAAGTCATAAGACTGATATGGGAAGTTGTTTAAGTTAGAATGACCAACTACTTGGGCATATAAACTAACACTAGTCTAACAGGTATTAAGTGTGTGTAATTGTGTGTTAATAGAGCTTAAAATATTGTCTCCTTTTGATGACAGCAGTCTATTTGCGAAGTTATTACTAATAGCAAAATTAGGAAAAAAAAGATGTGATTGTAAACAAATAAGATGTATTTTGGGTAAAATCTCCACTTTGTTATTTGTTTTCCCCAAAACATGGAATTTTTGACAAGGTTCTTTAGTCAGTTTGAGTTGTACGTGCATATCTGTGTAAGCCATAAAGGTGTCAGGATAGTTATTAACATTACACATTGTGTTTTTGTGTTGCCAGTGAATTCTTTGAGAGGACAATTCTGTGCAACAGTCTTGTATGGAGCTGTGCGGTGACTGGGAAGCCCGGCCTGACCTACCAGGAGGCCCTGGAGAGTGAGAGGAAAGCCAGACTTAATCTTCAGAACTTTCCCAATGTGCTGCTCGTCCCCCTTCTGCACCTGACAGCACTTACGCACCGCTCACGTCTGCATGAGATATGCGATGATGTGTTCGCTTATGTCAAAGAGCGCTTCTTTCCTGGAGAAATTGTGGATGTTGTCACTCGCTCTGGTGCCAGGTGAGATAATTGTTGTCACTCATAACTCATCAACATTAATCACATTATGCATTGTAGTGTTTCTCTTCCAGGGCAATTCACCCGAGCGCTGAAATTTTTGTTGATGTTCATGGAATCAGCCGTGAAACTTTTTATGAAAAAAGCAATAAGCTGTTTTTTTTAATTAACCCTTTAACTGTCACCCGTCCCCTCTGTGGGACGCCTAAGTTTACTTCACTATATTACAATTAAATCCTAATCTAATCATGACAAACTATATCGTTGGAAAGATCTAAGACTCCTAAATAGATATTTTACCAATGTTTTTGTAAAAAAATGATGTAGGAAAAGTAATAGATTAATTTATGACAAGAGTGCACCTCAAAAATCTACATCATAACAGGAGTTCTGACCTTTGTCAAAAAACTCTTCTAGGTTCAAAAAACTGTCGTCCACAAATTCGAACATCTGGGTTGTGCTGTTCTGTTGTAAATAAATCTTAACCAATGATTCCTAATTGCATCTACTTCCGGAAGGCCAAATAAAGTGCTTTTGCTTTCGCACTGAAACACACACCGTCTCCCTGACATGGCTGCATCAACACTACTGCTGTTCCTGAGACCACGCCTTCTTTTTTTGCGTGCACATTTGGGCGGCATTATGCTAATATTTCCACATAGTGACGTAGACATGTGGGGGCGTTTTAGGTAGGCGTGGTTGACTCTTAACTTTTATAAAGAATATCTCTTTGGATTTGAGACTTTAGTCTTTGCAACTTTACAGATCTTTATGCACCAAGAGCTTGTAACACTCCAAAGAGAAAGGAAAACTTGAAATCGCATCATATGACCCCTTTAAGCTAAAAAAATATACATTTATTGAAAAAACTGTAGCAAATGTATATCTGTAATGTTGTTATGTGAACAGCCTACAGTGAGTCAGATGAATTTGTGAGTCTTTTTTAAATGATTCAACAGAAGAACCAGGTCATATGCTGCATATTGGACTGTACTGGATGCAATGCATGTTTCTTTTTGTGTGGCACTGAAAATTCAGTCACTACAAGGCCCATTCAATGTGACTTTAAAGTCAGTTTCATCATTTTTGATAATGGTTAAATCTTTGTTGAAGATCTGTCTTATTAATTAAAAATAATTGCAAAATAATTTTAGGACAGCAGTTTACTTTAATTTTTTACTGGAGAAAAAACAACCATTATGTAGATGATCCACAACTGTGCGAGTATGTGAATAGGGATGAACAATAGCCCTGTATAAAGCACTGTTTTGAAAAGACCATGGCTTAACAGAGGAGAAACACCCAGATGTTCATCGATGTGTCTCCACCCTCGTCTGCCTTCTCTAGACAAAGCTCTTTTGGAACTCTGAAAGTCTTTGGCAGCTCTGTATGCAGTACATTATCAAGTGTTAGAAAAGAAGAATGCCAACCTAGCACAATTATGAGTCCAGAGAAATAATGTTAGCCTGTTCTTGACCAGAAACTTGTCTTTTGAAGGGAAATGTATCAGAGCTCTGTACCGTAGGAGAGGATCAGAGTCAGCCATCATAAGCTGACCTTGCTATTTGGAGATAACATAAAGTGATAGGGTGGAGCTTAGAGAATCCCCCTGATTGGCTGAACTGGTGCAAGGAGTTGCCCTAGAACTCATCAGAGCTTGCAGAGACAACCAGACGTGAGGCAGCATGGAGCCCCACTGGTAGACGGGGTGGAGGGGGATTTTTTTTTTTCCTGTTTTGGAAGACAAGTAGGAAGACCGCTGTCTGTGTCTGGCTGAGTCTTGCTGTCTCAACCAGTCAGTTAAATAGATCACACCCAAACTGCCTGCTTGATTCTGTATGTTTGGAGTTTTTTGCAAGTTAGTGATGAGATGTTGTGTTTTCTACATTTTAGATAAATACAATATTTACAGAAAGAAGGAAAATGAATGGCCGTTCTGGGAGACATAGAGATAGGCTTGCATTTTCACAATTTCTTTATGAACTGCGCTTTAAAATAGATTAAAAACATTTTACCTGTACATTAGGGCTGCACGATATATCAAAATATCGCAAATGTACATATCGTGATATGCATATCGCAATGGCATGTGATATCTGAATTATTATTTTAATAATAGGCTACTTCTAAACGTTGCGAAAAGTTACTTGCGTAACTTGCTTGACGTTAAAAAGAATTAAGTGCAATAAGTTGTAACTCGTTGTGGTCTCGTGCTGTCTGTCTGACACACCTGAAGCGCGCGCACAAACAGTAGTAAATGCTGCTCCATCTGAAAGCACTGCGAGTTTGATTTGCTTATAACGTGCATTTGAAAAAGCAACATGTGTCAAACATCTTTCAAACATGAGAAGCATTTATGAACCTCTTGTCCAACAAAAGACGTTTAATGTTTTTACTCAACTCACTTCATAACGTCAGTCGAGTGTTTGAAATAAATCCTTCTGTGAGATGATGTGACTTCTTACACAGAATAAGACACGCAACATATTATTTCATAGTTTATTATGCAGTGATAAAGGCTATGTCGATTAGCATTGCATTATATATACTTTATTATAATGAAAATTATAATAAGAAGAACTCAGATAAACCATATATTGTCATAGTCGTGTGTTTATTAGTCACGTTGAATCAATGAAAGCAGTTCAATCTTCTGTTTATTCAGCTGCAGGGATAGGGATTTCCTGGAGCAACTTGCATTTTCTTTCTTCTGCGGGGATTTGGAGTTTCAGCGCAAGAGCACCTGTCTGACACACCTGAAGCGCGCGCACAAACAGAAGTAAATGCTGCTCCATCTGAAAGAACTGCAAGTTCGAGTCGCTTATAACGTGCATTTGAACAAGCAACACGCATCAAACATCTTTCAAACATGAGAAGCATTTATGAATGTCTTGTCCAACAAAAGACAACATTTAATACCTTTTTACTCCAAACCCACTTCATAACGTCATTCGAGTGTTTGAAATAAAAATCCTTCTGTGAGATGTATGGCTTCTTACGCAGAATAAGACATGCAACATATTATTTAGTATTCTATGCAGTGATAAAGGCTATGCCGATTAGCATTGCATTATGAATATACTTTATTATAATGAAAATTATAATAAGATCATCTCAGATAAACCATATATATTGTGTTTATTAGTCACGTTGAATCAATGAAAGCAGTTCAGCTACAGCAATAGGGATTTCCTGGAGCGACCTGCATTTTCTTTCTTCTGCGGAGCAGATTTGGAGTTTCAGCGCAAGAGCGCCCTCTGGCCTTCGGATGGAGCAGTATTTACTACTGATCACAGAACCCGGCTTCACTGACGAGCTGTACATGTAAAAAATCGCAGCCTTTGGCGAATCACGATTGCAGTTTAATTTCGATTAATCGTGCAGCCCTAGTCTTAAGAGAACGTGAACAGTTGGGAAAGAAATCAGATTAATAATACGGTAAACCTGCAGCTGTCTGTCAAACAACAAAAGAAAAAGAGAAAAATCACTCACTGCTCTTGACTGACTAACCTTTGTAGCTTTATTATGAATCAGTGTATATTAATTAGACTATACAGTGTTTTAGTTTTACATTTGATTGAGTTTCTGTATTGTTTCTTACTTGAATGCTACTGTTAAATATATCTTATGTAAGCCTGTCTGAAAGTTAAAGCACTGTTTATTTCATTTGTATCTTTGTTCTTTTTAGATTTGTGACATTGCTTTTTATGTAATTCTAAAACACTGCTGGTCACTTTCAGAAGTTGTAGTGAATGTGAAACATATACATTGGTTATCATTTGTAGTTTTTAAATATTTTTAAATATAATTTAACTTGATTTCACACACTTAAAGCAATACCGTATCGCATATCGAATATCGCATTATTTAACAAGGTATCACATATCGCAGTTTTCTTCAATATGGCACAGCCCTACTGTACATACTGTTTGTAGTAACATTTGAAGTAAAATTCTGGTTCCCAGGCTGTCTGATTAAGTCTAGTTTTCTTTTTCGTTCATCATGAAATATACAGAAGTATGTTTTTCATATCAATTTGTTAATAGTTTTCCATTTGGAACTAAACAAATGCACACAGATTAGTTTAATCTGTTATAATATTTCCTGCTCAACAGAGAACCCTGCAAAATATTGGATGTTACACCTCCTCATTCCAATGGCACAGTCAACGGCCATGTCAAACACCATATAGAGGGCGATTCGATCGTTATCAGTGACAGTGATGAGGAGCCCACAGTCACTTCCCCCAAAACACCAACTAATGGGTCAGTGCTCGGAACTTCCTTTCTATGAAATGCTTCATATGTTTCTAAATCTAAATGGCATGTTTTATGCTTTGTTGTCTAAAGCAAGAAGAAGAAAGCCACCAGTCCATCTTCATTTAAATACAGAGTTCAGCCTGTCAGCCCAGAGGGTTGTGAACCTTTAGTTGTAAAAGCTGCTCAGATTAGGTGAGTTACATATATTTTTTTTCCTTAACTAGAGAAAAATTCATAAATAAAATGTCATAGTTGTCTTTTTGTTTCTCTTGTTTGTTACTCATTGTAAAGTCTTTCGCTGATTTTTTCCCCCCCTTTTGCTTTTCCATATAGTCGGAAGAAGAGCGTTTTTAGTCGAGACAGATTGAAGCTGCTTCTTAAACAGCACTGTGAACCAATGAAAGGGACCATCAGACTCAAGGTAAATATAAAATGAAAGAGTTATCCAGATTGCCCATTTTAAAAATTTCAATTTGGATGTTTTTTTTTCCTTTTCTGGTTACTGTTTTTTTTCCAGCCATCAACGGTTCTAAAACATAAGTTGGCCGACCACAGTTTCTCCCACTTCTTCCCGGACGAGCCCCCAGTGTTTATCTTCAGTCCACCAGGGAAGGGCAGAGGTTGCCGTCCTAATGATGCCTCCCCAACAGAGGTCGGTTATTTTGTGCTTACATGTGTGCTTAGATGTAATGTTTGCAACTTGGCCATCTTCATTCAGGCAATTACAAGTATGGTACACCATTTGTTCAAGAAAAAAAATTCAGTTTGATACTGTTTCTCTGATGAGGATTTGTTTCCCAATTTTAGATGAATTATGTCGAGGAGAAGTTAAAATTGATGCAGCAGAAAGAACAGATGATGGCCATGGGTACGTTTAAAATGCAAAATACAAGTTACACACTGACTAGACATGTCATGGGGTGAATTATGCAATGCATCTGCATAAATTTGCTGTTTCTTTACATGGCTTGCATTATGAAGAAAAATTCAAGAAAGAAAGAGAAGATCTAATTGAGGCCAAAAGGAAAGAAAAAGAGGACAAGGAGAAAAAGATAGAGGAGATGAAGAGGATAGTAGAAGAGGAGAAACAGAGGCGGAAAGAGGAGAAGGAACGAATGAAGGTTGAGAAAGAGAGGGTGAGTTGGAAGTTTTTTTTGTTGTTTTTGTTCTCATCTCTAGTCTTTCACAAATTTTTGGTCCTACATATGTAAAAAGTAAATAATGCTTATAATTTGTTACATTTTATTAATTATTGCACCTGTTATACTTTTGTTTGTTGTTTATGGCTAATTGTAAATGTGCTGCAGGAACGAGAGAAGCTAAAGGAGGAAAAGAAAAAATATGCAGAACGACTGAAGTTATGGAGCAAACCTCGAGAGGACATGGAGTGTGATGACCTAAAGGTAAACATGCCCCCTCAGACTATTAAACACATTTCTGCAGGGACGCATACATAAGCAGCAGACTAAATGCTGTTTTTGAAGGATTAGTTCACTTTCAAGTTAAAATTTCCTGATAATTTACTCACCCCCATTTCATCCAAGATGTTTACGTCTTTCTTTCTTCAGTCGAAAAGAAATTAAGGTTTTTGATGAAAACATTCCAGGAATTATTCTCCTTATAGTGGACTTAAGCGGCTACCAAACAGTTGAAGGTCAAAATTACAGTTTCAGTGCAGCTTTAAAGGGCTCTACACGATACCAGACGAGGAATATAAGGGTCTTCTTATCTAGCGAAACGATCTGTCATTTTCTAAAAAAAAAAAAAGTCAGCGTTTACAAATGTGGAGAAGGAGGACCGTTCAAAAGTTGTTGTATGTTCAATGACACATATTCAAATGTCTTTGTGTCAGTTTATCGTTTAAAACGGTCACTTTGTGTGCGTATCCTGGGTGTTTAAATCTTTTGAAACCTAACTTCCGCCTACGTCAAGCGTGACCTTTTCAACGTAATTACATATTACGTGAAGTCATGGACACGCATCGCAGAGCAATGCAAGGCATGCATTTTTGTTTAAAAGGCATATACTTTTTTTTTTTTTAGAAAATGACCGATCGTTTCGCTAGGTAAGACCCTTATTCCTCGTCTGGTATCGTGTAGAGCCCTTTGAAGCTGCACTGAAACTGAAATTTTGCCCTTCAACCGTTTGGTAGCCATTGAAGTCCACTATAAGGAGAATAATCCTGGAATGTTTTCATCAAAAACCTTAATTTCTTTTCGACTGAAGAAAGAAAGACGTAAACATCTTGGATGACATGGGGGGTGAGTAAACTATCAGGAAATTTTAATTTCAAAGTGAACTAATCCTTTAAATATGCCTGTCTTCAGGAGCTGCCAAAGCCTCTTCCAGTGAAAACACGTCTTCCTCCAGAGCTATTTGGAGATGCTCTGATGGTGCTTGAGTTCCTGAATGCATTTGGAGAGCTGTTTGATCTAAAGGATGAATTCCCTGATGGCATAACACTTGGTAAGAGACACTTACTGCTCATAAATGCATTACACTATGGGATATTATGCCATTCCCACTCACTGACTCACTAAATCTAGCATGAGTGTCCTAATAACATTCTATCTTACAGAGTGGCTTTTCTTTTACAATTTACAGGGATTGTGAGTCTTCCGGATTAATCCGGAATTCCGTTTTTTTATTTTTTTATTTTTCCGGCCTAAAATCATGACCCACGTGAATCATGCAGATCAGGAATGGAAAAATCAGGGGTGGGGAGGTGTTTAGGGTGATGCTGGTTACTGCATGATGAGTGAAATCATGAAATGGCCTTTAGCAATTAACTAAATAAACTGAGAAAAGGTTGTTTTCTAAATACTTAATGGACAGAATGGTGCTGAGAGTGCTGAATGAGTGTGCAGCGCCATCTGCAGGACAGTTAAAAGGGTTCAAATGGTTCAATGTGCCAATGAGAGTAGAATCAGCGCTGAAACTTATTATTCGCCCAGTAACTTTTTATGAATGATGGTGAGAATTTGAGATTGCTTGGTACTATCATAAAATTCGCAACGGTTGTGATGTAATTATATAAATATAGGCTGAAGTCTGATGTAGGCTTGCTACGATAGACGGTGTTTTCCGTTATACCGGTGTTAAGCTGCAACACCGTAATCATTTGCCTACCGCGGCACCGCCCCCCACCGTCGTTTTGATTTTTTTTTTTTATAGTAACAAAAATCAGTTAGAGGACAGGCACTTTTAAAAACTAAACGCTCAATGCAGCCTGCCGAACCGTGCACGAACGACAGTGCAGCATGGAGCAGGAGTCAGATTTTATTTATCACGTGAGGAGAGTGAGTCGAGCTGACTGACAAGAGTGAGGTGAGAAAGACAAGACGATGGCAGAAGATTGTTTAGAAAGGAAATGCAAAGGTGCCTGTTTGGTAATATTTTAGATTTTGAAAAGCCTATTGACTGGAAGTTTTTTTTTTTTGTTTAATTCGTTTCTTATTTATTTGGTTCCACAGTGTTTGCTGATTTACTTTTTCAACTTTGTGTATTTTATTTATTTTATTTTACATCAAGGTGTAGCCTTTGTGCCGTGCCTCCAAGCTTTCTTATTCATTTTGCTAATAAACGTTCTATGTTTCTTATATATTTGGTTCCACAGTGTTTGCTGATTTTCAGTTTTATATACCTATTTAAACTTTGTGTAGCCCAAGTAATTTATTATTTTATTAGGCATATATGGTGTATTTTTATTCGTTTTGTTAATAAGTTCTATGAGTTTGACGTTGTTGTTGTTTGAATTGAATCAACGGCGAATTGCCGCTAATTTGAAAGTGAAAGTAAAATGCGCACGATGCTTTTTCAAGCTATTTGAAAGCCAAGAAATCCGAGGAAAAGAGGGGAAACTCAAATGAACAATTGCTTAATGCCAAATTGCGGCAATTCAATTGCCGCTAATTTGAAAGTGAAAGTAAAATGCGTACGGCACTTTTACAAGCCATTTGAAAGCGAAAAAAAGAGGTAAACTCAAACTAACTAACACCCCCCTCCCCACTCCAACGGTGATACTGGTATTACCAGTGTTGTCACACGTCGATTAACCGGTGGAAAAATGTTCTCACCGTCACAACCCTAGTCCGGTGTGGTACACTTATCAAAGAATCCTGAAAAATATAATGCATCACCATTTCCACACAAAATATGAAGCAGCACAACTGTTTTCAACATTGATAATAATCAAAAATGTTTCTTGAGTATCAAATCAAATTGTAATGATTTCTGAAAGATCATGTGACACTGAAAACTGGAGTAATGATGCAGAAAAATTCAGCTTTGTATATCAGGAATAAATTAAATTTTATAATATATTAAAATAGAAAACTTTTTTTTTTATTTGTAATTGCTGTTTTTACTTTATTTTTGATCGATTAAATGCAGCCTTGGTGAACAGAAGAGATTTATTTCAAAATCGTTAATAATTGTAATGTTTCCAAACGTTTGGCAGGTACTTTAATAATAACAATTTTATTCATACTTTTACTATATTTTATTATATGTTATTAATTATTATCATGATTATTAAAGGGGTCATGAACTGAGAAATCAAATTTCCCTTGATCTTTTGACATATAACAGGTCAATGTACTATAAAAACATCCTGTAAGTTTCAAAGCTCAAAACTCGTTAGTTTAAAAACGGCTTTTATTGAAACTAAGCTCAGAAAACGACTCGTTTTGGAATGTGCCACTTTATGATGTAGTAGTGTGGCTAAGCACTGCCTCCGCAGGAGAAGATCAACGCCTTCACATCACTGTCTCTTTAGCCCCGCCCATTGATACACACTTGTAGTAGGAGGAGAGGAAATACTAGAGAGATGCGAACACAGGATTACTCCATCAACAGAAACATACAGATGACATTACAAGATTACAAGACACTATGTAGTGTAAATTATGAAAAATAGTCTTTGAATTGCCTTCCTTGTGATCCTAACATATCGGACATGCACGTTGTTGCGTCATGTCATGAATCAATTTCTCTTTCAGGTCAGAAGTGGTGCGCATGCTTGTTTGTCAGAGAATAGATCGGGACATCAGTTTACTCTCTGGGATTTGTTGTCAATTCGTGCCGCATCCAGTGTAAACAGAATCGCCGATTACAATGGGTTCTGTTGTCTATAGTCGGGTTGCGCCGCTCGTGTACAGTGTAAACATGGGGTAAAATTAGCAAAGAGCTCCAGATTGCATCAGTGAAACTCTTATTTGTTTGTTTGCTTACTTTGCTATGGATTAATTTTTAAACAAGACAGAATGATGCAGGCTTTTCAGAGAGACTGAAAGTAAACGATGATGCAGCGCTGAGTATGACTAGAGTGGATCCAACAGTAATAAGTGTGAGTAAACGTGCTTTTACCACTATTGCATTGTCTGTTCCAGACCGTTTGATATATACTGAGTATTTATAAGTTTTTAACCCAAATGACCCAAGTTGTTTTCAGAGTATGTCACAGCAGCATCCATCTGTTATTTTAATAAGCGAAACTGTTAGCCAATCATAGCAGTGGGCGTTTACTTGCGAGTCTTGAGTGTGCCCCTCCTATAAAAACAGACCCTTCTGCAGAGAGGCTCAAAAACAGGATAGAAAATAGCCTATTATTCTAATTTTTTTTTTTTTTAATGTAAAATCACACTAACATTATAAGTGAACCTCAGAAAACATTATAAAATAATCAAAAATGCTGTTCCCTTTAAATCAGGGGTCTCCAACCTTATTTCATTCGGGAGCTACTTTTTAAAAATGAAAGCGGCTGAGAGCTACCAATGTTATACAATACTTAAATCTCTTAAATAATGTATCAATCCAAACTGTTATACACGGCATTGTTAAAATGTGCTGTAAATATTAAAAAAGTACTGATACACACTGAAATCTTTTTGCCAAGTTTTATGACAAAAGCCAACAAATTTAGCAGCATTATGCACTTTTTGTTTGCATAAACAGTGAAATAAAAACATTAAAATATGATGGCCGGATTTTAAACTAACAAAGAATATTTATATTTATTTATGTTATCTACTGACATGTACTACATGTTCAAATAAAGTTTTGACCATTTTTTTTAAATAAAATTATAACATTTTACATAACATAACATAACATTTTTTTTTTTTTTTTATAAAAAGGATGAGTCAGAATGACACATTTAAAAAATGATCTGCTCCATAAACAGTTCTACATAAGCTAATGTGCATTCTAAAAATCTCAACACTTCTGATAACAAGGTAGCCTATTTTCCATTGACCGGTTAAGATTTACAACAAAAATTTGGTCAGATTTTCGCAATAATATGGCAGACAGACTGAATGAATTGTAAATTCACAGTTTAACAGCAGGTGGTGCTTATGAACAGCAGAACAGAGCTGTTTCCACGGTAACATCTGTAAACAAAGCTGCACTGCACTTCTAAACACTGCTTTATTATGCATTACACGGAGGGAAAATGGAAAGCAAATGCCATCAGAACTTTTCTGAAGACAGTTTCCTATTATGCATTCATACAAATAATTTAATCATACATTCTTTCATATACATATACATTCTTTCCCTCAGCAGTCTGCCTTCAGTCATGCTTTCACACAAAATGAAACTACTCTGCATGTTGCGCCTGCGTGAGACTCTTAATAACTTAAATTAAGATTAAAGCTGAACAATATTTACTTGAGTTTTTCAAATCGCTATAATCAAATACGGGTTTAATGATAATTAAAATATGAAACGGGATAATTAAAATAACCTCAGGCCGATATGTCAAGTATGTCTTGGCGAGCTACCTCCAATCAGGCTGGTAGCTCGCGAGCGACGTGTTGGAGACCCCTGCTTTAAATGCTGCTTTTTATTTTTATAAGACAAAAAGTATATATTATACAAAGTAAGATTTATCTTTAAA